AAAAAATTAAAAAAACCTACTAAGGAGAGGAGCATTTTTCAATCAAGAGGCAGGAAGTAAGAGAGATGAGCAACTTAGCTTGCATGTGGGATCGTCAGGTATCCGAGGGGTCGCCGAAGCCGAGGGATTTTCTTCAGATCTATGAAAATAGGGGAGATTTTGGCCAATCGAGGCTCAGATCCTTGCTCGGGGAGAAGAAAGGATTCGAACGGTGGTCGGGTCTAATTTTTCTGTCGCCGTCGATCAGCGACGACTCCCATGGTAGAGCTCTCCGCCGGCTGCTTAAGAAACAAAGAGAGAGGGGAGAGGATTTTTGCAAAGAGAGAGAGTGAAGAGAAAAATAAAGGAAAAAGAAGGGAAATGGGTTTTTATAGCCCAGACCGAACGACGTCGTTTCGGCCCCCCTATGCGTGTGTTGACCCGAAGGGTCTTCCGAAGTCCACCACTTTTCCTGCGTCTATAATTTAGTCACTTATTTCAGGATTAGTTTCTTATTAATTTAGAATGTTTGTCTTTATTATGTTATTTTTCCTTTTTACGTTCTTACGCTAACCTTTGGTTTATTTTTTTCAGGTCCCTGTACGTTTCCCGTATTTTACAAACTGGTCACATGTTTGCCCTTTTTATTATTCTACTTAAATGCATGTACTTAGGCTGTAATTTTACATTTAATTAATGTTGCTAGTTGAAATTTATGGGTTAAGCATATTTTAGTCCCTAACCTTAGGCGTGTTTTACATTATAGTCTCTAGGAGCCTTGTTTTATTCATTTTTCTGATTCTGATATTTAATTTTGTTTTGTTTTAATTTAGTCATTACACTCCCATGCTATTTATTTGAAATTACTCACTGATTTTTATTTTATTTCATTTTTAGTCACTAATAGTTCCTTCTTTGTCTTATTTATGAATATGATTTTATAGTTTCAATTTTTTTCGTTTTACTCACTTTTTATTTCTGATTTGGCTACTATTTTTTGTTTTATTATATTTTAGTCCCATATTATTCATCAATTTAATTTCAGTCCTTTAATTATTACACTCTAGTTTCTGTTTAATTTATTTTAGTCCCATGAATATATATATATATATATATATATCTATATTATATATATACGTTTTATAATCATATTGAATGCCTTATTTTGCTATCTTGCATTGTGGTCCTTATGTTTATGATTTTATTTTATTAAAGCACTTATATTTGTGTGATAATTATTTTTGGGCCTTTGATTTTTATTGTGTTTATACTTTTACCATTTTAGTTTAAACTATCATTATCTAGCATGATTAATATAATTGGGATAAATTGACTTAATTGTTTTCTCTAGTCGAATAAAATTATTTTAATCTTGAATTCTTGGGAGAAGTTATTATATTCCTTTTATTTCAATTGGAAAGAGAAATATTCGTCCTAAATTATTTTAGGGATTATTTCTCTACAATTAGAAATATCTGAATATTTTCTATTTCTCCTTAGAATTTTTCGTTCAATAAAAATTGTATGGTTGAATTTGGAATAAATGAATCGTAACTTAAATTTATATTTTTTAATTCTTAGATTTCCACTATTTGAGACAATTTATAATCGATGGGGTACCAATTTTGGGCGTTGTGGGGGAGCTTATCATTCCCCACACGTAATCGATCCCCGAACCCCTTTTGTATTTAAAAAAATGAATCTCTGGTTACACGCAGACTGATTTATCTTTTAAAATGATGTTTTCTTAAAAACACTTTTAAAAGAATTTTTTTTAGGTATTCGACCTACCTAACCCAAAAGGTCGATGGCGACTCCAAAACATTTCAAAATCTTTTCAAAAGAAAACCCCAAGGCGTACTAAGTTTTTACCCACCCGGGCAAAAAACGGTGTCGTCAATTCGAAATCGGTAGTCGTTCCCCAAATTTCATGGGTCACTTTGTCTCGACCCCTTAAGTCCGAATCTGGTGGTCGTTTCACTGAAAAATGTCTCAAAACATTCCGACAAAATGGAAATTGGATTCGGGCTTAGGAGTTCGAGACGAGTTGGTCAATGAAATCTAGGACTGAACAACCATTATCTACGATCGTCGATGATGGTGTCTAATACCGACGAACATGGATGATAATCTTTTATTTTTATTTTATATTTTATATTATTTTAATATTAAATAATAATAAAAATGTCACGTCATAAAAAACATTAATAAAATAATTCAGAGTGACTAAAACAAGAGCAATTTAAGAGTTCAGTGAATAAATTAGAAAAATTGAAACTATAGTGAGTGAAATAGAAGAAAAATAAAGTACAATGAGGAATGTAGGATTTTACCCCATTTTTTTAATCACCGTTCGTTGTATGGATCCAAAGCGGTGGTTTTTAGTGGCCTAAAATATATCGTGAACGCACTGTTGTTTTGTTTTGTTTTAGGATTTGTATTTAACGAGGAGATTAGAATATTTCTGGATTTGGAAGATTACAGCCGTTGCCCTACACATTGGAAGAGGTAAACAAGAATTCGTCTTGTTCTTTTTCTTCTTTTGCTCTTCCAATAATGATATTATTATGTATGCTTGATTAGAGTTCAATAATATTTGTTGACAAAGTTAGTGTTTAATGCTATTATTTTATGTGTCTGATCTATAACGATCGTTAAAAAATTATAAATCACTAGAAATTCGACACATATCATATTTATACTTTTTTTTTAAATATATTTAAAAAATTAAAATTTTCTTTAAAATCATAAAACATCCCTAAAATCTTAATTTCCAATCCCTAATACCATCTAGCAGCCCCTTCTCATCGCCGACTTTTATGTTCACCAGCGAGAGGAGAAGAAGAGGTATAGCTTTAATAGATCCCGATAAGCCTTTTTGGCTTAATAAAAGGTATAGCTTTTGTGTTCACTAAGGTTGTCTTCGGCTTGTTTTGCAGCCACCTCGTCGGAAACTCGTCACCGGTGAAAGGAAGGGGTTGTTGGACTTGAAAGGTATTAGGAATTAGGAATTTTGGGGATTTAAATTTAGGGATTTAAGAATTTAAGGGATTGATAACAAAAGTAATTGTTAGGTCGTGGGTGAACAATGATAGAAGAGTGGTCGTTGGATAACAACTAACGATGAGCAATGACAGTAATTGAATGAACGACGATTAATAGATTACTTAATATAAAGATTGTTGCGAATCCCACATTGAATGTGAAAAAAAAACCTCTAAAAGAATTTATATAGCCTTAATTCCCTCCCTATTTGAATAGTGAGGCTAAAGCTCAACACCCACACTTTGTATCTTTAACACGTACGTGTTACATATTTTTTTTAAGGTAAAATCAAATGATTGTTTTTTTAGTTTTTTTTTAAAAAAAAAACTATATCGGCATGTAACATCAAAACTATTTAATTAGGAACGAATATATATTGTAGGTGGAAAGATAATTGTCCCCCAACTTTAATGATTTAATTGATTTTTTAAAACTCGTTGGTTTGATTAATTATTTAGGACTTTCTCATTTTTAAAATGAAACTATGTCTTGAATTCCAATTTTCTCGATTAATTGTTTTTTAAAACTATTTAATTTTAAAATTAGTAAAATTAAACCATAATTCTTTTAAATTTTATGTTTTATTTAATTTTAAAATTAAATAATTTACCTCTCATAGTTCAATCATATATATCCCTATAAAAAAATTAATTCGATCATTTTAATAATTTATTAAATATGATAAAATATTAACACACGTGGCGCAACAATTTAACGATCTCCTATTTGTTATAGTGAAGTAAATGAGTTTATATTTCGTGTTCTCATATCGAAAGAACCTTGGTAAATGCATTCCGAAAATTCTCGTAGGCACAAAATAATGAATCGTTAGGACTCCCACTAACACCATTCCATTTTAAATAATTTACATAACATATTATTTTAATGGTATTCGATAATTTAACAACAAATCTTCATGTAATCATTATCTATCTTATAATATCCCAAACCCTTTAACCGATTTCCTTTTGCGAAATTAAATAGTCAAAAGCTATTCCTCTATGGATAGCTTATCTAAAATTGATCGCTCAAACTATCTTAGGTTTCCCATCAGAAACATGTCTCTATGCTGTTGCCCATGTGACATCACAACTTAATCAATGAATATATTATCTTTCGGGTAAACTACATATTTAGTACTCAACTATCTGTTTTAATCATTTAACTACTTTTTTTAAAATCATACCTTACGTTATGTTTTGGATTCATTTTGATCACCCACCGTTAAAAATGAACAAAACTGCTGACGTAACATTTTTTATTTTTCTTCAATGATGATGTAGCACTCACTACCTTATGATAACACATTAATATTACCGTTAATTTTTTAACAAGTGACCAAAATGAAATCAAAACTAAACGTTAGATATGATTTTAAAAATAATAATTAGATGACTATGACTAACAAAAATGATAATTAAATTACTAAACATACATAGTTTATCCCTTATCTTTTTAGGGGAAGTAAAAAGACAGTAGCAAGACCCACTTCAATGAAATTCCAGATTGAGCTTAAATAAATAAGACTGACTTTAACATTTTGGAGATACTGTGAATTGAAAACTGGCTCATTGTATTATTAGTATTCTATTATGTTTACTAGTAGTTTTTTTAAAAATTAATAAAATTTATTGAAAAGTTATATTTGTAAAGTAATATAATTAAAATTATTTATTTACTAGTAAAAATATAAAATAAATTCTTATTCTTATTTGAACCTCATAAGTATGTAGTTTCTATATCATATTTTGATTTTTGCGTAATTGAGATGTCAAGACTTAACTCTACAATTGAGGTTGAATATTCATTCATGTACTAATACTATGAAGGTGATTCCTTGTACAGGAAGAAGCTAGGTTTAAATTGAGAACAACTTGTGTTAGAAATTTTGTTGGTTATTCCTTTTTTATTTTCAGAAATGGTGTGAATGCGTTGAAGATTGTAGACACCCGTTTTTGACAGGGCTTAAAAAAATATTATAAATATTATTACTATACTATTATTATTATTATTAATATTAATATTACATTTATGCAGGCCAATCAGGAGACAATTACAAGACCATAATACAAATCCTGGAGCCCACGCCCAACAGCCCAGATAACAAGTTACAACCCAACAAACTGGATCAAGACCTAAATTCGGCCCAACTCAGCAACAACAATAATTAGGGTTTCTAAACCCTAAAATACAAGTTGTCGCCGCCTCCAACAATGATAGTGCCGTTGTCGCCGCATGCTCCGGCCGTGCACCGTCGAGTCACCAACAAGACCACCAGCGTCATCCCCTACGTCAAGCAGCAATAAAAAATCCACTAAACCAAGCATCCACTAAACATGTTTTTAAATCAAATGCTCTCAAGAAATTTGGTATCGTGCCATACCAATGCTCGAAAATCAGTAGAAAATCCACTCAAAGTGCATTATAAATACAACCAGAAAAACAAAGCAAAGGGGAGAAGATTTGGAAGAGTTTTCGAACAGCTATAAAAAGGGGTTTATACACAAGAGAGCGTGGGGGAATTAAAAAAAAAAACAGTGTGTAAACAACATTAATTTCCTGGGATTCAAAGAGAAAACAGTGTAACAGGGGTTTCCCCTACCATTGTCGAAGCAATATAAATCTATTGAGGTATTTTTTGGATTTGATTTTTTTTACTGTCCAGTGATTTTGTGTGTGAAATACAGGTAAATAAAATAATAGATAGTGAAGATTCGTTTACCTGAAGGGGTCGGGTTTCGTTGGTGCTTTGTAGCTTGACCTCTCGTCGGGGTAGCGTAGGGTGGTGGCCATGGTGGTTCATGGCCTCCGGTCTGATTCATATGAAAACAAAGAAAGAAAGCAAAAAAAAAAAAAATTGAAATGAAGAAAGAGGCAAAGGAGGATAGAACGACTGTTGGGGTGTTATTTAGGATTAGGATTAGTTTAGGTTTAGTTTGTTAGAATATATATTAAATATTTTTGGATTAATCATGTGTGCAAACCTTTAATATTCAAAGTAGTGCATTTTGGTTTTATTGTCTTTTGGGTTTCTGTTTATATCTTCAAAATTTACGGGTTTTATTTTTAGTCTTAGGCTAGGTTGTTTCGATTCCATGTGGTTTTTTTATATTTGAACTGTAATTTTGTGGATTTTTGTTTTAGTCCTACAATATTATTTAGTCTTGCATTTTAATATGTATGTCTTTGTTATTTCCTATTTTCTTCCTTTATAATTTAAAATAACTATAAGCAATTGTGAATATTATATGAACCAATGGTGACTTGTTTTGTTCATGGGTAGTTATTTTTATATTTGAAGCGTTTATTTTCTCTAGTATATGATATAGTGTTTATTTTCTCTAGTATATGATATAGTGTTTATGTAGCCGTATATATGTATGCATTTAAATATTAAATAGGACTTAATTTTTTATCAATAGTTCATGCATATATTAGGCATAACGTAATAAATATTTTTTTCTTTAAGTTGTGAAAAAAACATTAGATATTTATTACATATTATAATACATGTAATACATAAGTTTAACCATTTTAAAATATCGATAATCCACTAGCATGTTTATAAAGTAGATATATATATATATATATTACTACTCACATGTGCATGTATTCTTTTAAAAAAAAAATTAGGATCAAACATGTATTCAAGTATGTTTTTTTTAGTTAATATGTATGTTAACCTCATGTGCATAACTCTACATTATTATATAATTGAATTATGGGTAATATCCTTTTAGTTTTAAATTGTTTGAATTGAGTTATTTTAACTTATTAGATATCCGCTTTTGACAATTTTAAATTAGAAGTATATCCTATTAGTGACATAAAAAATGATTCAATGCTTTAAAATTTAGGAATGAAAGAAAAAGAAATATTCGATTATTTAAATTTTTTGAGAAAAGATAGTTAAAACTTGTCTCAATAATTTTAAATAATTGAATATTCTTTATCTTTCTAATGGCTTGGTAATATTAATTTAACCTATTTCGTTGCTTTTGAATGTTATAAAATTCACATTTTTGTTGTTTTAAGGGATCAAAAATTAAATTAAAGTTGAACTTGTAAAATTTCGTTGTAAATACATTAATTGATCGATTAGATACCGATTTAAGGCGTTGTGAGAATGTTAATCCTTCCCCACTATAGACATTCATTTTTGTCCAGGCTTTTAAAAATATTATTATTATTATTATTATTAATTAACTAATTTATATTTTGATGCAAGCCACATACAAACCCGAAACATCTCCCCAACAGTTTCACGACATATTCACCAACAGACCGCATCATGTGCACCATAATAGCAGTGATAAGATTTAAGGATGTGGGTACCATCCTCAATTGGATTTATGTGCAAGATGGAAGGCTAAAAAGACAAAATTATTAGTGGAAGATATAGACCTAACAAAATTCTACCTAATCTCCTAAAGCAGCCGTGGCCAACATCAGTAGCCACCATGTAAGCTGGTCGCCGAGTTAACCCGAAGCCAGCCGTCGCCTCCGAATACACCAGATTCCAGCCGAGCCACCAATGAGCTGCAAGCCGAGATAGTTCGAGCCATCACCGTTGTTATCAACCTACACAAATCATCCACAGTGATAGATCTCCTACTTCAATCAGCCAAAGTCAAGCAAATTAATGATTTCACCTAAACTAGTCATTATCTTACCGTATACGAAGAAAATACAGATACAGACATGAGGATTCGGCAAAGAGAACAAGCATAATTAAAGGGTGTTCGAACAAGAAAGGGAGGAAGAAACGGAAATAAAGAAAAGGAAGAACAGGGAAGTTATCAACAATCATTTGAACAGAAAAGAAAGCCATTCGAAAGGGGAATTCAACGATTCGAATAAGAGAAGGATTCCGTCAACAACGGGAAATATCAACTAGGAATACATAAGGTCTTCTTCTCGTGTTTATGTAAGCAAATAGCAAATCAATAAAATTTTAAAAGGTTTCCTTCACTTCAGTTACTTAATTTCCAGTAACCTTCAAATATTTTATTTCTAAGCAAGTAAAGATATAGAGACGATGAGTTAGTTACATTACCTTTCTTGGTTCCATTTTTTATTTTCATTCGTGTGGTAGCTATTATTTGGTGGTTAGCCGAGTGTTAGTAAGCATCGGGTTCCCTTGAGCAATCACCGTTTGAGAGATTAGAGGATAAAAAAAAACGTCCTCAGCAGTTTGAAATTTTAAACGAACGGAAAAAGTTTTTTTAATCAACCAAAATCAAGGAAAAAGAACCAAAAGGCTTACCTTTTCTACAGAGGATCTCATCGGTCGATCACTCTTTAAAGAATCAAAATCAAAGTCTGCATGTAAGTTTCGAGGGGCTTTAGATCTAAACTTGGGTTCACTAGCTCGGGTTTAGGACTTATTCGTGGTGGCCTGAGCGAGAATGACCACCACTAAATGATGGCGTTCACTAGCTCGGGTTTAGGACTTATTCGTGGTGGCCTGAGCGAGAATGACCACCACTAAATGATGGCCTGCCGATGATGTTGAGAGAGCTTTTAGGACTCTCAGTCAGAGTATACAAAATAGGGGAGAGGATGGAGAGTAGAGGTTTGAAACGGCGGGGTGATTGGGTAGGTTAAATGAGGGTTAGGGTAAAAATATTATATAAAATATCATATATATATATATATTAACTTGTGTTTTAATTGTTTGGTCAAACCGTGTTTTGTGAAATGGGGTAACAGAGTGCAATATCCATCATTTTTAGAATTGCTATATTTCGGTCCTTAAGTCTAGTTTTTTTTATTTTTTATTTTATCTTCGTATTTTATGGGTTTTTAATTTCAGTCCCTAATGTATTATATTTAACTTTTGCTATTTTAGACATTAGACTTTTAATTTTTTTTCATGTTTCGTTTTAGTCCCTTGGTCAAAGTTTGTATGTTTATGATTCTGTATACTTATTTTTGCGCGTATTCAATTTTAGTCCCTAAATTTAATTGTTTCGAATTTCTATTTGTTTAGACATTTGACTTTTAATTTTATGTATGTTTCTTTTTAGTCCTACACATATTTATGGTTTATTTTGATGTTAGTCCTTTAGAAAGATATTTTGTTTTGTTTCAGTTCCATTATTCTTTTTTAGTCTAATACTTATATTTTTATCTTAATTATTATTTTGTTTTTAGTCATCTAGTCATTTAGTTCGTTAGTCTATATTACTTCATAAATTAGTATTTAAGTTTTGTGTTAATATATATATTAATTCGAATATATATATAATTAATTTAAATTTACTTGATTTTGTTATAAGTATGTAAAGTAATTTCAATTGTATTAATGTTATTATATAGATCGATTTATTTGTTACTTATTATACTTTAAAAATCTTATATATTTATATGTATATATTTTACTATTCAAATTTTTAGCAAACACTATTTTATTATTTTTAATGTTATTTATTTAAATATATTTCAAGAACACTTTTAAATAATTAACTCGAAGTAAATTAATCAATATTCAATAATTAGATCATATTTTAATTTTATATTTAATTCAGGATTTCCACCATTTACGACAATTTATAAGCGACATAGTATCAATTTTGGGCATTGTGGGGGTGCTAAACCTTCCCCACGCGTAACCGACTCCCGAACCTATTTTAATTGAATCTTTGGTAAACGCAGACAAATTTTTGTCTTAAAAAATGATTTTTCTTAAAATTATTTTTAAAAGACATTTTTAGGTATTCGACCTACCTAGTCCAAAGGTTGATGGCGACTCTTTTCAATTTTATTCAAATTAATCCAAAATCACCCATTTTTCAAAATTAAAAGTCGTAACTATTTTTTTAAACAATTAAACGATTGTCCCCGCCGAGAAAACGGTTACGACAGCTTGGCGACTCTGCTGGGGACATTTTTAGAGAGTCAGTCTGTAAGTCACTTACACATTGTCGTTTGATAGAAATTATGAGTTCGAGTCTTTAGTTAATTTATGATCCTTTTATTGAAGTTTTTGATTGCTTCATTTTATTATTTTCTTACTAATATTTTTATCTTTGTTTTCAGATTTGTCCAAAGTTTTGTCAAGTAGTTTCGTTTTCTTTTTTAGTCAAAGGGCTGAATGTTCCTCCTCACAAACATCACCGGCATTTGCATATCATAAGCTCACTTACGAGCTTTGTCCCTTTTTAAGTTGAGATGAAAGCTTAACTTACATGAGATAATTTGTTTCTCTACATGGGTTTTAGCAAGTAATCTTTGGGGTTCATATACCTTATGTCTACGTGAGATAAATTGTTTCTCCGCATGGACGTAAGGGAATGTATCCTCTCGAATTGAACTCGATCCGTACGAGCCTGTAATGGGCCAGGATTGAGGGTTTGGTAGCCCAAGGGGGCACCGACATCAAGGACAATTCGAGTACCATTTTCCTCACAGAGCCGAAACCATACATATAGTGAACTGTAGAACGGTTACCCTAGGTACAGACATACTGAACTTCTGACCGTCAGTAGGTACCCAAATTATGTATACACAAAGGAGAAGCGTTTCAGAACCTTTTTGCTTTAAATTTTCTTTTCAAATAAAAGCATGCGAACTAGATATTATGCAGGTAGGATCATTTCATTGAAAATAATCATTTTTGGGGTAGAAAGCATGTTCGGGTATGATTGTTATTAATTTAAAGCATGCTCGGATAGATATCATGATTGGGTAGTGTTATATTTATTTGTAGATAGCATCTTTTAATTCTATTGATTATCTTTCTAGTACTAATTCATTTTTTCCTCTTTTGTTTGTAATTCTAATTTATTTTGTTTGCTTGTATTGACATTTTTGCATTTTTGCATAATCATCATGAATAAAAGAAAGGTGTTGATTAACCAAGTAATCATCAGATTAGAAGAGCGATCATTGCAATGGAAAAAAGTTTTCATAACAAGGAAGAACTCAATCCAGCTATACGAGCTTGGTTGGAGGAAATGCAAAAAGTAAAAGGAGATAGTTTGCCTGAAGGTTATGTATCGCAGCTATCCACGAATGTCAATGCTAATCTCAAGCAGAACGATTTACGAGAATTGACAGAGATTTGGGAAAGTTGGGGAACACCCACCAAAGAGAGGTTTTACAAGAAATATGGTGACGTAGCGAAACTTCTTTATGTAAAGATGGATGAATCATTGCTCAAGGCTCTGGTCCGATTCTAGAATCCTGCGTACAGCTGTTTTACTTTTAACAAGCAGGATTTGACACCAACGATCGAGGAGTATACAACTCTGTTTAGTTTTGAAAACATCCAGGTGGATAAAGTTTATTCTAGAACTCCGAAAGTTCAATCCTTCAAAAATAAACTGGTAAATATTATCGGTACAAGTGAAAATTGGATAGTACAACACATTCAACAAAAAGGAGAAAGCGAATGTTTTTCTTGGCATTGTCTCAAGAAGGTGATACTCGAGCATATAGATGAAGATAAGAGATTGGACACTTTTGCTCTTGCCATAAATGGTCTACTAATATTTCCAAAGACTTTGTTCCATGTGGAGAGTGCTGTTGCAGATTTCTTTGACACATTGGAGAAGGGTATAAATCCAACACCAGCAGTTTTGGCAGAAACTTTCCGATCTCTAAACAATTGTCGAAGATTAGAAGGGATTTGTAGGATGTGCTCAATTACTCACTGTATGGATTCGCAGTCACTTCTAGAAAGAAGACAAGGCATCATACCATCGTTTTTCTACGATTTACTCGCCTTTGAAAGAATTTCTGAGCAAAGAGTGGCCAGAAGGGTTACCAAGGAAGAAATGGATAACAGCTTTCAGTAATTTACAAGACTGAGATATTGCTTGGTGTGTTCCCTGGCTTGGATATACCGATATTTTATTTAGATGTAGGGATCTTGACCATGTCCCTTTGCTGGGATTATGGGGAGGAGTCAGCTATGCCCCATTAATGGTTCTCAGACAATATAGAGCTCGATAATTTGTTCTAGTAACAAGTGGCTTGAAGGAATTTTAAATTACTTATCATGGAGACCATTACAAGAAGAAAGCACGAAATCTATCTCTCGCCTGGAAAAGAACCTTTAGAACAAGAGCTGTGTCTGGAGATGTTATGTATACACCCGACTATGAGGCTTGGAGATTTACAAGGACGAATGAGAAGAACTTATCAAGGTGATACCTTCATAGATTGAGATTCTTACTGCTGAGTTTGAAGCTGAAAGGAAAAAATGGGACAAAGCAATGAAAGAAGCAAGACAAGGAAAGTTTATGATAGATCTTGATAGGGTTCTCCATATTAAACAATGTGATTTGTTGAAGAAAGATAAAGAGAAAGTCGATCTCAAGCTGGCTGATTTAAAATGGGAATACCGCAATCTACAAAAGGCAAAAATATATGGGTCTAGCAAGACATCACAACAATAGGCTAAAGAGTTGGCAATTGAGAGGCAACGAGTTCAAAGTCTGGAGGCTGAAAACAAACGCCAACTTAGGAGAATTGAAGCCGAGAAGAAATTGCGGGACAAATATAAAGCTGAGAAAATAAAAGTGACTAAGCAGCTTAAGATTGAAAGTCGTAGAGTCGAGAAATTAAAGACTGAGAAGGAAGTTGTATTGAAGGAGTGGGAAGCAGAAAAACATCGAGTCAGTGGTTTGGAAGCTGAGATGAATAATATACTCGAGGAACTTTAGGCCAGAGATCAGAAGATTCATGAATTAGAGAAAGAAAAAGAACAAAAGTAAAAGGAAATGTGGACCGACGGACAGGGATGGAACCAAATTCTTGAAAGAAAATAGGCCGAAATTAGGTCTTGGATGCAAAGATTTCAAACAAAGAGCAGGAGAGTGGGACAATTAATAGAAGAAATTGAAGATTTACAGACCCATTATGAAGAGGAGTTGAATCGGTCTCGAGCTAAGAATGGTGAGCTAAGAGATCATATCTCACATCTTGAGGAGTCCTTACTTCAAATGCTAGTTTCACCTGAGTGGATGAACTTAAGGCTTACCCGTGAGGAGAATAAATCTTTACGAGAGCAAGTCAGAGGACTAGAGAGTGAGTTTCAACGATGTCGAGTACACATTACCAATCTCAAAAAGGAGATTACTCAAGTTAAGGAGGGATGGAAGGATAAATATGAACACCACCGGATGCTGGTTGAGGAACGTGAACGCATGATCTGAGAAGCAATAGCACAAATGAGTGAGGTGGCCCATTATACACAAGAACTTGCCAACCAGGCTGAAATTATTCTGTTTTGTACTAGTTTATCATCTGAGTATGGAGAGAAGGTCGCTGGGATAATGAATGAAATCATGGAATTAAATAACAAAGGCAAACCGTATTTGTAGAATTGATCTTTCTTGTAAAGATGAAAGCTCTTTTGTAAGAATGTAACTTTTCTAAGAATTGTTACTTTTGGAAATCAATACCTTT